CGAAGTTGCCTTCAGATGCATGCAAAGAATGACTACTTCCCCCCTTATCTAGAGCGACACGAATCTTTTACCCCTCCCGAACTGCGCCATTGGTTTAGGGTTTCAACCCTATTTGAAGAATGGTTCGTTGGAGAAAAATTGAGCCAGTTCTGTGGAAGAGCTAAACCAAATTGGTTTAATCCGACCCGCTTCAAACTAAACCCAAACGACTCGAACTAATTTGAATAAGTCTGATCTGAATCGAACTAATTTGACCTGAACTAGCCCAAATACAACCCAAACCAGTACGTATTGAACCGACCCAAATGACCTTATGCACCGAAAAAATTATGCCCAATTTTTTTTTTATTTTTCAAGGTGAAAATTTCACTTTTTAAAGGAGTAAGCCCTCGTTGAGTTCAAATGTACAAAAAATATTTTATAATCCACAACATTTTGATGAGCAAAAGGTGACAATCGCATCATTATGTTTAGAAGAAGTTGCCAATATATGGCATCATGGATGACAAACCAAAATTGATGTCATAAATTAGAAATATAATGTAATAATAACTAAGAAAAAGACCAATAATAATCTGGATGATTCTGTGATCAATAAAGGGGAAAAAGACTAAATAATAGTGAACTTCTTGAATATATCCACAAGTGTTCTCGGACAGACAATGATCAAACTGAATCCACCTAACTACAAACATAAGATAGTAAATTGAGATTAATTACATTTGGACCTCGGTCTAACAAGGGACAAAATCAGGAAAGACAGGAAATGAGAAAATTATTAGGCCTCACGACCAACGAGGGACTCGGTCCACGAATTTCGGCCCACAAAGAAGCCCAAACCGTGGTCTGGGCATGCTCAACGCGTGCCAACAGGCACGTCAAAAAAATGCCGCATGCGTGTGGCAACATGCATATGTGTAAGAGGTCCGATGCATGTCTAGCGTTTTGTGCACGCGTGCCCCAACTCTATGCGATTTAAGTACGTGACTCGCGTGCTCGCCCACTCGATCTTTCCTCCCACATGCGCCCCCCCAACTGCAACTTGCGCGACCTTAGTAAGTATCCCACACGTGCCTAGCCTGTTGCCAACTTGGCAGCCAATTTTTGAGTCCTTTTCGACTTGTTTTTCTCCTTTCGAAGTGCTACAAGGATTCTTATGCTTCCATAATTATCCTATGTGATTAATGTGCCAAATTAGAGAAGGATTTCTACTTAAAATTGAAGTCCAAATGATGTGAGTCCAATCAACACCTACAGAAAACTTAGTTTTAAAAATCAGACGTATAAATGAAAGGGATCCAAGACGACCTTAGAGAGTTGGGAAAATAAATTCAAATGCCTTCTAGCCCATCACAAAGGGTTCGGGCTAAGAAATTCCAACTTGCATTTAATATGTTGGCCCAAGAA